CTTTTCGTGCCGCAGGGCTTACGTGAACCGCTGCGGTTGTTAGCAGCACGGTTGTTAAGTGGATCTGGCTTCAATCCGTTGACTGTGCTTGTCAGAAACTTGCAAAAAAAGTCATGAAGGAACTCGGACACGGTGCAACCCGTTATAAATACGAATCTTTTCTGAATTTTGATTGCGTGAACCCGGGGAGGCTGCAACGGTCGTAAGGGTGAAAAAGGGTCCTAAGTCACTTTCCGGGCCATTGTAACTTTAAACGGTCACTAAGTGAACTGTTGTAAGGGGAGGACTTCCTGTAGATGTAAAGACAGGACGTTTTTAAACTTCCACCTGCAATTTTGATCTTCTAGCTTCTTGATCATCGTTGTTGTGATTTTGATATGATACATAGCAGAAGATTCAGTAGCCCTTTGAGTCATGAGCTGTCATAGAGTCTTCCCATCACGGTCGTAAGTTGTAAATCAAGTAACTCAAGTGGGCTTACCGAGTTGAGGGGCTGCCACAAAGAAGAGGGAGGGGCAATTTATTTTCCAGAAGGCAGGAGAAGAAGCAACGAATGGAAACTCATAAAGGAGAGAAGCAACCTGGAACTAAGGAGAAACTTCCTAACAGTGAGGTCAATCAACCAGTGGAAAGGGTTGCCTTCAGAAGATGTGGATCCTCACTGGAGGTTTTTAAGAAGAGATTGGACACCCATTTGTCCGGAATGGTGTAGAGTTTCCTGCTTGAACAAGGGTTAGACTAGAAGATCTTCAAGGTCCCTTCCAACTCTGTTATTCTATGAATGCCATCGTGATCAACGACTAAGGGAACTCGATAGGATTGTCTAACAAAGAGCACTAGGGGTAATATGATAGCACTCTCCCAGTATTTGAGTTGCTATCACAAAGAGGGGATCAATCTATTCTCCAAAGCACCTGAAGGCAGAAAACAGATGGAAACTCATCAAGGAGAGAAGCAACCTAGAACTAAGGAGGAATTTCCTGACAGTGAGGACAATCAACCACTGGAACAGCTTTGCCTCCAGAAGACATGGGTGCTTCATCACTGGGGGGTTTTAAAGAAGAGACTGGAGAGCCATTTGCCTGAAATGGTATAGGGTTTCCTGCCTGAGCAGGGGGCTGGACTGGAAGACCTCCAAGGTCCCTTCCAGCTCTATTCTGATTGATAGTTGGAGAGTCCTGTTTTAGAAGAACGGGGAGAAGGCTTTGGCTGTGGTAGCTCCTTATGTTTCATCTGATGTCTATGGAGATTCTCAATCCATCATAGTTGTCTCCGAAGTGCTTTTTCCAAAAGGCAACTCAACTTTCTTGGGTCTTTTTTTTTTTCTTCCTTTGGAAGCGTTTCCCTTCTTCTCCAAGAAGCTTCCTCAGTTCGTCTGAAGACATACTCCAAACATGGTTTGATGTTGAATCATGAGGGGCTCAACCTCTTTTCCAAAGAATCAGGACAAGAAACAACGGATGGAAACTCACCAAGGAGAGAAGCAACTTGGAATTAAGGAGAAACTTCCTGACAGTGAGGACAATTAACCAGTGGAACAACCTGCCTCCAGAAGTAGTGGGTGCTCCAACACAACTTTAATAAACTTTATTACGGCCGTAGACCAGCAATAGCCATCAATACTCCAACACAACAGTGAGGACAATTAACCAGTGGAACAACCTGCCTCCAGAAGTTGTGAGAGGTTTTTAAGAAGAGACTGGACAGCCACTTGTCTGGAATGGTAAAGGGTCTCCTGCCTGAGCAGGGGGTTTGACTAGATGACCTCCAAGGTCCCTTTCCAGCTCTATTCTGATTGATTGAAAACCAAGTGACTGACCTTCTCTGCGGAGGTCGTAAAACGAACACAACGGTCATAAAGAGAATGCCACAGTTGTTAAGGAAACCAAAGATTCACTACGGGCATGTTTGACCAAAAGCTGGAAGCCAATGCTACCTTTTTTTCTTTCCCAGCAAAACGGTCGCGAAACACGGTCACGCGTGGGACGCTGCATAGGGCTATAAACACGGGACGCTTGCCAACGCCCTAGCTGCGGACGCATGATCACAGGCCCTGGGGTGGCCATTGGAACTGAATCCTGGACGAGACTATCCCTCGGCAGGCTGACTGGTATGAACTCGTCGTAAGTCGAGGACCAACGTTATCATCGGTTACATACCTCGACGATGTTCACTCCATTGTGTCTGACAACCGCTAACACACTGGTCTTTGATACATTAGTTGTCCATGCCGCCCTCCTTAAATCAACCGGTCTGTCTTAATATCCACCACAAATCATGCCCGCTCCCCGACAAAACAGCCTTGTCAGAATACAGAACCGTACAATTTATGTCCACAACTGAACAAGCCACATTCCTACGATGTCACAGCAAGCATTGCTGGTAGGGTTTCCCATAAGCAGATTAAACCGAGGGGGGACTTCATTCCTTGCTCAAAGTACACTTAGTCCTCATCTCAATGGCCGCCGCTGAGCCCAAAATTTCCTTTTAATGCTCTATGCTGCCTGGAGTCACCACGTGTCATTTCGGTGGCCATGTGCAGTAAATCTATTTAATAAATAGATAATCGAAGAGAGCACGTTTGATCTAGTGCAGGGGTAGGCAACCTTGGCTCTTTTATGACTGGTGGACTTCAACTCCCAGAATTCCTGAGCCAGCCATGCTGAGGGGACAGGGAGAGGTTTCCAAGCTGAGCCAGGCTGGCTCAGGGATTCTGGGAGTTGAAGTCCACGAGTTATAAAAGAGCCAAGGTTGCCTACTCCTGTCCTAAGTCCTCCTGTTCTAAGTGGTGAGCCTCCTAGAGCAGGGGTAGGCAACCTTGGCTCTTTTATGACTGGTGGACTTGGACTCCCAGAATTCCTGAGCCAGCATGGCTCAGCTTGGAAGCCTCTCCCTTTCCCCTCAGCATGGCTGGCTCAGGAATTATGGGAGTTGAAGTCCACGAGTCATAAAAGAGCCAAGGTTGCCTAGCCCTGATCTAGTGGTTAAGGCAGCAGGCTGGAAACCAGGAGATGGTGAGTTCAAGTCCCATCTTAGGCATGAAAGTCAGCTGGTTGACTTTGGACCAATCACCAGGAGACGGGGAGTTCTAGTCCTGCCTTAGGCATGAAAGCCGTCTGTGTGACTTTGACCAGTCACCAGGAGATGGCGAGTTCTAGTCCCGCCACAGGCATGAAAGCCGTCTGGGTGACTTTGACCAGTCAACCAGGAGACGGGGAGTTCTAGTCCCGCCTTAGGCATGAAAGCCAACTGGGTACCTTTGGGCCATCCTCTGTCTTAACCCAAGTCACCCCATAGGCTTGTTGTTAGGAAATCGGAGGAAGAAGATGTGTTGGAGACATTCGCCCTCTTGAATTATTTGTAAAAGGAAAAAAGGCAGGCTAGAAATAAAATAAATACGGAGTGCCAGAAAACGCTGCTTTTTTGCCAAAATAATGGCTTGGCTAACTTATCGAGATGTCACTTGGGCGCTGTGAGCATGACTCAAGGTGGCTTCTGCTGCTGTGGGTGTGTTTGTGGTTGCCAAGGCTTGGGGGCATTGTGATGTCATGGAAGTTCAGTTGGGAAACTCAGCTAAACCTGGAGATCCTCAGTCCTTCAGCGTCAAGGACCGGTAGGGCCACAGAGGGGGCCTTGGGCCGATGATGGAAAAGCCAGGGAGAAGAGGAAACCTGGCAAAAGGGAGAGGGCCCCCGATGAAAAAGGTACCAAGAGGAAATCCAAGCTAAAGCGGGGAGGGGGGAAAACGTGCAGCTGAATTGGAAAGAAGGTGCATTGTGTGCTTTTCCCGGTCCAGTCGTTTGAATTAATTAAAGAGACAGCTTGGGATGGTGAGTAAGGTGCTAGCCTAGAAACGAGGAGTCTGTGAGTTCTAGTTCTACCTTAGGCACGACAGCCGGCTGGGGGACTTTGGGCCAATCACCAGGAGGCGGTGAGTTCTAGTCCTACCTTAGGCATGAAAGCCGGCTGGGTGACTTTGGATCAATCACCAGACGTCTGTGAGTTCTAGTCCTGTCTTAGGCACGATAGCCATCTGGGTGACTTTGGGCCAATCACCAGGAGGCGGTGAGTTCTAGTCTTGTCTTAGGCACGAAAGCCAGCTGGGTGACTTTGGACCAATGACCAGGAGTCTGTGAGTTCTAGTTCTGACTTGGGCACCAAAGCCAGCTGCGTAACTTTGGGCCAATCGCCAGGAGGTGGTGAATTCCAATCCTGATTTAGGCACAAAAGCCAACTGGGTGACTTTGGACAGTTTGGGGGTAGGGATTAAGGTACTAGCCTAGAAACCAGGCGTCTGTGAGTTCTAGTTCTGCCTTAGGCATGAAAGCCGGCTGGGTGACTTTGGGCCAATCGCCAGGAGGTGGTGAGTTCTAGTCCTACCTTAGGCACGAAAGCCGGCTGGGTGACTTTGGACCGTTTGGGGGTAGTGATTAAGGTGCTAGCCTAGAAACCAGGAGTCTGTGAGTTCTAGTCCCACCTTAGGGTATGAAAGTCAGCTGGGTGGCTTTGGGCCCCTCTCCACCCCATCCACCTTACAGGGTTTTTATGGGGAAAATAGGAGGAAGACAGAATATTAGGTACGTTTGCTGCCTTGCGTTACTTATAAAGTAATTAAGTTGGGATCAAAATCTAATAAATACAAAAAATAATAATAATTAAAAAAGCATCTTGAATACTTGGTTTCGTCCTGCTTGTGGCCTGGCTTGACAGTTTCAAGCATTGTTACGTACAAATTCCTCATTGGGGACTTTAAGAAAAATAAACACCCACCCCTTAAATCAGTGTTTCTCAACCTTGACTATTTCAAGGCATGTGGACTTCAACTCCCAGAATTCCACAGCCAGCAATGCTGGCTGTGGAATTCTGGGAGTTGAAGTCCACATGCCTTAAAATGGTCAAGGTTGAGAAACACTGCCTTAAATACTCACCACTTCTCATTTGCTTTTGGGGGGGGGCATTTATACTTAATTTCTTCCCTTTTTCTCCTCCTCTTCCCACAGAGCTCACAGTTCTACAAAGTCACCACCGAACAATACGAGAAAGCTGTGAAAGAAGTCAAATCCCGCTTCAAGTAAGACCTTTTTTTTTTTTAAAAAAAATCTTCTTTATCCATTCCTCGCTCATAAAAACACCATACCCATCATCCTGTGCCATGGAATTGTAATACAGGTTGCCAATGTGATTCCCCCCCCCCCAGAAAGCGTTTGGACCAAAATATCTAAAAGGTACACATGCTGCGACGATCATAAGTATGAAAAACGGTCCTAAGTCACTTTTTTTAGTCACTAGATCAGGGGTAGGCAACCTTGGCTCTTTTATGCCTCATGGACTTCAACTCCCAGAATTCCTGAGCCAGCATGGCTCAGCTTGGAAACCTCTCCCTTTCCCCTCAGCGTGGCTGGCTCAGGAATTCTGGGAGTTGAAGTCCATGAATCATAAAAGAGCCAAGGTTGCCTATCCCTGCCCTATATCAGGGGTCCTCAACCTTGGCAACTTTAAGACGTATGAATTTAACTCTTCCCTCCCCAGATGCTTGATAAAACTAAGGATATAGGATCAGGGGTAGGCAACCTTGGCTCTTTGATGACTCGTGGACTTCAACTCCCAGAATTCCTGAGCCGGCATGGGGGAACTATGGCCCTCTCATGACTCGTGGACTTCAACTCCCAGAATTCCTGAGCCAGCCATGCTGAGGGGAAAGGGAGAGGTTTCCAAGCTGAGCCATGCTGGCTCAGGAATTCTGGGAGTTGAAGTCCACCAGTCTTGAAGGGGCCAAAGTTTCCCCCAGGCTGGCTCAGGGATTCTGGGAGTTGAAGTCTGCAAGTCATGAGGGGCCATAGTTCCCCCATGCTGGCTCAGGAACTCTGGGAGTTGAAGTCCATGAGTCATAAAAGAGCCAAAGTTGCCTACCCCTGTCCTACGTCCTCCTGTTCTAAGCGGTGAGCCTCCTAGACCAGGGGTAGGCAACCTTGGCTCTTTTATGACTCGTGGACTTCAACTCCCAGAATTCCTGAGCCAGCCTGGCTCAGCTTGGAAACCTCCCTTTCCCCTCAGCATGGCTGGCTCAGGAATTCTGGGAATTGAAGTCCACCAGTCATAAAAGAGCCAAGGTTGCCTAGTGACTGAAAAAAGTGACTTAGGACTGTTTTTCATCCTTATGACCATAGCAGCATTCCCCCCCCCCCAGGGTCACGTGATCAAAATTCAGACGCTCGGCAACTGACTCACATTTACGACGGTCGCAGCGTCCCGGGGATCACGCGATCCCCTTTTACGACCTTCTGACAAGCAAAATCCATGGGGGGGAAGCCGGATTCACTTAACAACCGGGTTACTACTTTAACGACTGCAGCGATTCACTTAAGGACTGTGACAGGGAAGATTGTAAAACGGGCCAAAGTACGCCTAACAACTTGTCTTGCTTAGCAACACAAACATCGGGCTCAATTTTAGCCGTAAGCCGAGGACTCCCTTGTATTACGATACGGTTAATTGAAGGCGAAATGCAGGATGTGATTTTTTTTCTGACGCCCTCAAAAAACGTCCATCAGGAAAAGGGCTTCCGATGCTTGGAGTGAAAGTAAAGGCCGTCTTGCTTTTTTTTTTTAAGGCTTTCCTGCCAAAAAATGAATGTTTTTAAAGTTGTCCTGTCGGATTTCAGCCTTCTTACGCATTTAAATGAAGCCGATTTTTCTTCCGAGTGCAGCTTGTTGTGTAAATCGCTTTGGGAGGGGGGGGGAAATTAAAGAAAAGCACCCCCTCCATTGATAACTCTTCTGACAAGTCTCGTGTCTGGGTTTAATTGAACGTGAGGATGGAAGGCAGGGTCGCCAGCCTTAGTACCTTAAAGATTGAGCTTGCTTAATTGCCTGTAAAAAAAAGAGAGAGAGAGAGAGAGAGAGAGAAATTAAATAAGGTTGAACAGCTAAATTTATCATTCCGTTCGATGGGTAAAGCGGCGCGTTGCGTGTCAGCGTGATTTCAAGTTGGGAGTGTGAGATTAATAGAGCTAATTGTGGCATTGTTGCCAAGCAGCTCCACTTAATAAGGGCAAATATGCCTGGAATTTTTCAGTAAGTTTCCATTCAAGAATTCACTTTCTGCCGTCAGCTTATACAAGGCGGGTTTCAGACTGTCTGTGCTTTTCACAGGGATCCTGTGAAGGTGATCGTATGAATTGCAGGACATGAGGTTCAGCCTAGTGATTAAGGTGCAGGGCTAGAAACCAGGAGAGTTCTAGTCCTGCCTTAGGCCTGGGTGACTTTGGGCTGATCACCAGGAGACAGTGAGTTCTAGTCCCGCCTTAGACCTGAAAACTGGCTGGGAGACTTTGGGCTGATCACCAGGAGACGGGGAGTTCTAGTCCCGCCTTAGGCATGAAAGCCAAGTAATTTTGAGCCAATCACCAGGAGATGGTGAGTTCTAGTTCTGACTTAGGCATAAAAGCCGGCTGGATGACTCTGGGCCAGTCACCCGGAGATGGTGAGTTCGAGTAGTGAAAACTGACAGGGTGACTTTTGGCCAGTCATCAGGAGACTGAATTCTAGTCACATCATAGACATGAAAGCCAGCTGGGTGGAATCACCAGGAGATGGTGAGTTCTAGTCCTTCCAGGGCCATGAAAGACAGCTGGGTGACTTTGGGCCAATCACCAGGAGATGATGAATTCTAGTCCCGCCTTGGGCATGAAAGCCAGCTGGGGACTTGGAGCCAATCACCAGGAGACGGTGAGTTCTAGTCCCGCCTTAGGCATGAAAGCTGGCTGGGTGACTTTGGGCCAATCACCAGGAGACGTTGAGTTCTAGTCCCACCTTAGGTAAGACTATAGTGGCTAACAGTGTGAATGGAGGACTTGAGAGCAGTTTGGCCTACAAACCAGGCGACGGTGAGTTCTAGTCCTTGCCTCGGGCGAAAGCCATCTGGGTGACTTTGGGCCAATCCTTCTCTCTCATCCCAACTCACCTCTCAGGGTCGTTGTCCTGGGGATGATAAGAGGCCAAAGAGTATTTTGGATGTTCACCACCTTGAATTACTTATAAAGTAATAAAGACGCGATAAAAATCTGAATAATAAATAAAATATACAGAGCCTTGTGTATTTCTGCCAGCCAGTCCACAAGGAAGGCATGAGATATTTTAAAGAGCAGGAACTCTCCCGGCACCTCCAAAAACATCTGTGCGGTGGATGGTTCTGGAGGTTTCTCTGCCTGGAGGTGACCCCCCCCCCCCGTAACGCTCGTTTGTACCAAGTGGGGGGAAAAAAAATCGGCAAAGCGGCACGCAACCACATGCTATCTTAAAATGTCAGATCTAGCAATATGCAAATCGCAGCCTGAAGGCCAGCAAAACATTAAAGAAGATCATAATCTAATTCTTTAACACAATGACCAAGGGGAAATAAACAAAACAGTTCCCTCTTGGGCGAAACGGTAGCAAAATCCTGAGTCTCCGGCTGAGGTTCTTTGTAAAGGCGTAGTAGCGCCTTCCCCGTTCATCCAGGAGCCAAGATTTTCCAGAAGGTCTTAAAAGACAGGAACAAAATCACCCTGGACCTGTGATCTTTGTGTAGTTCCAATGCTGTAACCAACATCAGTACATACAGATAATTCTGGATTTAACACCATTTGCTTAACCCCCCACCAGCACTGACAGGGCAAGCCACTAGTTATATAAACCGGAAGTAAACCCCCCGTCCCTTCGAGCACTGATGATGTTACCTAGTTGGGTCCTGAAACGTCTACAAGAAGACCACCAAGCTCAGATCACCAAGGACCCCACAGTCGTCTTCTTCTTCTTCTTCTTCTTCTTCTTCTTCTTCTTCTTCTTCTTCTTCTTCTTCTTCTTCTTCTTCTTCTTCTTCTTCTTCTTCTTCTTCTTCTTCTTCTTCGTCTTCTTCTTCTTCTTCTTCTTCTTCTTCTTCTTCTTCTCCTCCTCCTCCTCCTCCTCCTCCTCCTCCTCCTCCTCCTCCTCCTCCTCCTCCTTCTTCTTCTTTTTATTATTATTATTATTATTTTTAAAATTTATAAGCCTCATTTAGCTTTTTTATAACTTGTAATGATTGTTTTTTCTTTTTTTCTTCCTTCCTTTTCTCTTTACGTATTATTACTTATATATATATATATATATTTTATATATATGTTCTATTTTTCGTCTACTTTTTTCTTTTTTCTTTCTCTCTCTCTTTTCTTTTCCCTTTTTTTTCTCTCTTTCTTAGTATATATTATTCATTTTAAAGCTTATGTTATGCATATTATTATTACATATATTATTATATATATTATTATTATGACCTTTATTATTTTTATTAATTATCTTATAAATTGTAAATGTTATTTTTTAAAATTTGTTAAATAATCCTATATTCAGTTCTGGGAAGTCGGGGGGGGAGGGTGGGGTGGTTTGGGAGGGGGGGGATGTTTATTTGTAAAATTTTTGAAAAATTTCAATAAAAAAAAAAAAAAATTTATAAGCCGCCCCACTCCTGAAGGACTCTGGGTGGCTAACAATAAAAAACACATAAAACATAACAAACAACAATACAAAAACAATCATCCAGGGGTAAGGTTTTATAAACCCCAGGCCTGCCGGAAAAGCCAGGTCTTAAGTAGCTTACGGAAGACCAACAGGGTGGGAGCGGTCCTAATCTCCGGGGGGAGCTGATTCCAAAGCATGGGCGCCATTCTTCTTCTTCTTCTTCTTCTTCTTCTTCTTCTTCTTCTTCTTCTTCTTCTTCTTCTTCTTCTTCTTCTTCTTCTTCTTCTTCTTCTTCTTCTTCTTCTTCTTCTTCTTCTTCTTCTTCCTTCTTCTTCTTCTTCTTCTTCTTCTTCTTCTTCTTCTTCTTCTTCTTCTTCTTCTTCTTCTTCTTCTTCTTCTTCTTCTTCTTCTCCTTCTCCTTCTCCTTCTTCTTCTCCTTCTCCTCCTCCTTCTCCTTCTTCTTCCTCCTCCTCCTCCTCCTCCTCCTCTTCAGAAACCCCCACTGCCTTCAAACACTGATAATGTTAGGTAGTTGGGTCATGAAATATTTGCAAGAAAACCACCAAGCTCAGAGAGCACCGAGGACTGCACAGTCGTC